TATATATATATATATATATATGTATGTATGTATGTATGTATGTATGTATGGGAAAGAAGGTGCATAAAGATAAAAGATGAAATTATAATTGTATGCAGGTGGGGCCAAGAACAAAAAAAATAGACTATCGTGATAATTGGCAGGACAAATGCATGTGGATTATTAAGAAAAGGAAACATTAAAAAAGATTACTTTGTGCAAAGGCAAAGAAAGCAACAACACAACATACTGAGTACATTTGAAAAGTACATATAATCTTGATATAATGAAGTGGGAAAAATATAGCTGTATTTTCACTTGTTCATTTATTAATTTAATAAAAATCTCACTACAAAAGAAAACGAGGAAGTGTGAAAAGGATTTGTTCACATATTAAGCACAAAGGGAACAACTTAGAGTTCCTTAACTTAAAGTGCTTGAAGTGAGACAGATGGAGGATGTGATGCAATGGCATAAGTTGTTGGTGTGCTACTTTGGTTTTAAATGTTTGATAAACTTGTGGGTAATTTACAGTGAAAATTTGTAAAATAATAATAATAATAATAACAAAGACTAATCAAGACAATAAACCTAAACTTTTTTGATAGTTTTTAATGTTTTATTTTTTGTGTTAAAGTTGATATAGATTTTAAAGAACTATTTCCAGAAAATACTTTAAAAAGTAGAAGCTCCTTTGGTTTATTGAATATTTAGAGCTAATTTATAGCTACGTTATAACTAAAATGCTATTTTATAATAAAAACAACAAACATCATATCAACTACAATTAGATATTAGTATGTTTTTAGCTCAAAATGATTGTCCTGCCTACAAGTTAGCAAAAGTACTAGCTATTAGCATAAATCTCTGATGCATAAAATGTAACATAAATGCTAACTTGTAGATTAAATGCTGTGAAGAATTTAAAGTGATTCTTAGACAAACTTTTGGCACATTTTCTAAAAATTCATACAGAAGTAAAAACAACTTTGAAAACCTTTTAAACTGCTAAAATTAATGAAAAAGAGGAAACATCTGTATAGCTACTTCCATTACTTTATTTGTAATCTACTCAAAGGTCAGAATTTCAGAGTTTCAGATTGGGGGAAAAATCAACTGAAATTTCCCCGCACTCAGAATTTCAACTTGGAAAGTCAGAATCTTTGTCAACCCCAATTTTAAAATCCTAAATGGCTGCTTTGTACATGAAAATCTTTCATAGCATCAAAAAGAAACATAGTTTCATTTATTTTTCCTACGAATCCTAATAAATCAGCTGGTGAAATAGTACTACACCACCCCTATAAGGAAACATGTTGCTATAGTGTTTGAATGCATAAATGGACAAGAAAATCCTTGTTATTGGCTAGCATTGCTAACAGTGGTTAGCCTGGTTTCTGTGCACTATGTCTATTCATCAGTGAACTGCAGTAAAACTAGATGTTGTTTGTGTTGCTTACCTGTACTAAGAGCCTTTGGACTCAGTCTGTCATGTTGCTGAGTGGTGCTGCTGGTTGTGGTGGTTGAGACAATGATGGTACCAGTTGAGCTGGTTGGAAAACTACTTGCAGTGGTAGAGATAATGTTGGTGGTACCAGCTGAGCTGGTTGTTGGTGAAGCTGTGTTACTTGTTGGAATACTAGTAGAGATAATGTTAGTGGTACTAGTTAAGTCTGTTGTTTGTGGGATTCTGTTGCTGGTGGAAAAGCCAGTTTTAGTGGTAGAGATGCTGCTGGAACTGGTTGTTTCTGAGTCTGTGGTGCTGATAATAATGCCAGCAGTAGAGATGGTGGTATCGGTTGCGTTGGTGGCATCACTGGTGTCAGTGGTCCTGTCTGTTTGGATATTGCTGGTACTGTGAGCAGTATGTGTGATAGTTGTATCTCTGGTTGTCTGAAGCCCTGTGATAGATGGTGATGACAATGAAGACAATGAAACAGCTGAAAGTCTATTCTCAGTTCTAGCTGAAGTGGAGGATTGTGGAGCTCCAGTGATGTTAGATGATGCCAATATTCTGAGTTTAGTAGAATTATCAAAGCTAATTCTTAAGTTAACATCATCTAAGTTTGATGTAGCCTTTTGTGTTATTGAAGATAACAGCAGACCTGTAATTAAAAAAAAAAGATACTTTTTAGTGGTCAAAATATATTTAAATTAAATTTCTACAATGCATTTCAGTGAATTTAGGAGCCAGCAACAATTATAGATTGTGTTAGCTAGTGAATCACCTGTCATTGTTAAGCATGTCTATGCCTGTCTGTCAGCAAAATGTCTTGTAAATCACTAGACAGATTTTAATAAAATTCAAAGTAATGGATGGATTTACTTCACTCACCATTGTAATGGTTGGACAGTTGACTCAGTTGACTCAATCAGTTAACCAAATCATCTGTCCAACTGTTACAGTGGAGTCAATTTTATTCAAGATGGCCGTGACTTAAGCAAGCACAATAATGGCTATAACTCTCTCAGTTTACTAACATTCAACTAAAATTTGGTGTGGTGTAGTTGAGACTGATCCCCAACACATATTTCAAGCACTGTAGCTCATTTGATATCTTGCAGTATTGTACCCTTTTCACTTTAGCCTGCTTCAATTATGGTGTTCCATCCATCCATCCATCCATCCATCCATTTTCTTTATGTTCTTCCTTTTTGTGTCGCGGGGGTCACTGGTGCCCATATCTAGTAATCACTGTGTGAGAGGTGGGGGACAATGCCCTGGACAGGTCTCCAGTCAGTCACAGGGACACAGAGACAAATGAGACAAACGACCATTCACTTTCTCACTCCCACCTAGAGACAATTTAGAGTTATCAATCAGCCTAACATGCGTGTTTTTGGTCTGTGGGAGGAAACTGGAGTATCTGGAGAAAATGCACGCATGCACGGAGAGAACATGCAAACTCCACCCTAAAAAGCCCCGGCCGGGATTCAATCTGGCAACCTTCTCACTGAGAGGCAACAGCTTTACCAACTGCACCACTGTGCTGCCCTATTGTGGTGTTCCCCAAGGATCTGTTCTTGGCTCAATTTATTTAAATCTACATGCCCCTTAGGCTCTATCTTCAGAAATTTTAACATCTCATTTCACTCATTTTGCCAACAACACTCACTCCCATACAGACGACACCCAGATCTATGTTCATTTGAAGCACGGTCAATTATTTTTGGTAAAACTACAGTTTGGCTGGATTATTGTAACTCTCTAAATGTTGGTGTTAGCCACGACAACCTCTCAAGACTCTCAGTTAGTTCAGAATGATGCAGCTCATCTTTTACCACAACGAAAGAAACAAGAACATATCCCTTTGGTGCTGTTTCCCTTTATTGACTCCCTGTTTGTTTCAGAATTGATTTTAACATTTTATTGATAACCCTTAAGGCTCCTTTAATGGACAGGCTCCTGACCTCCTTCCTTAGATGTAATGATAATTGTTTTAGTTATCCCAAGGTCCAGACTGATCTATGGAGGTGATTCGATATTTAGTTTTCTTAAGGTCCAGGCTGGTTCAAGGGTGATTGGATCTTTTCCATTGGAGCTCCTAAATTATGGAACCAGCTGTCCCTTCATGTAAAGCAGATCTAAATTATCTGTGTTTTTAGGTCTCATCTTATAAACACATTTATACTCACTGGCTTTAAAGACCCAATAATTTTTCTTTTTATTTATTTATTTATTTAGTCTTGCCATGTATATAATAGTTTTATTTCTTAAACTATGTGTTGCTTTTGTGTGCATCACTTTGGCCAATCACAGTTTTTTTTTCTTTAAAGTAAACAAATACATTTGATTTGATATTTAAAGTTTTACTAAAATATACATTTTTGACAAAAACTTTAACATGAAATGCAGCATGTTATGTACAGGTTATCAAGGAATGCTTGATCTTTAGTTTTCTGTGTATTTTAACAACCAGGACTTCATTAAAGTTGTATTTTTTATAAAAAATGTTGTCACTGAGGGATTTTCTTTTAACATTTTGTAAAGCAGAATGACATAAATTTATTTCAAGGCAGAGTTTTGCTGTCTGAGCTTTTTAGTTTTGAAAGTCTAAACAAATTCTGTGTCTCCCCTCATATAATCTGATAATAAATGTTTAAAGTTTGGTCTTTCAAGGATGACTAAATAGGCAAGCTTTAGCACTACTGTAAGAACCATTAAAACATTATAACAGTGCAACATGACAGGTTTTTGAGCCTCACAGTGGTTCGCATCATGTCAAAAAAGAACAAGGAGACTTCCTGCAAGAACAAGGCAAGACTTCCTGCCTGCCTTAAAAAAATACAAACACGAACTAGTTTCAGTCATAACAGAATTAAGAGGGGTGGAAATACACAGTCCTGAACACCGAAGAGTGTTTCTGTTGTGTAACCCCCCCTCAGGTAAACCTGGTTTGTGGTTTTAACTTTCTGCAATTGAACATTAACTCGTAACAATCATCCAAAACAAAAGATAACCTGACTGAAAACTATATGACAGTTGGGGATTTCCCAACCATGAGTCTTTACCACTGACATTTACTTTTATGAATAAAAAATAAAACCGATGAGTGATGCATTCTCTGTCATGATTTACTTCATAAAAAAAACACATGGACAGGAAGTAAAAGAGTCCTAATTTGAAAGTTTACTCACATGTTATGAGCCTTTGCAGGCTGAGCCTCACCATTGTTATCCTGTCAGTGTTTAACTTCACGTACAGCTGAGGGTTCGTGCTCTTTGCTCCCTCAGAGCGGATCTCCCTGTGACCGTGTCAGTGATTATATATATATATATATATATATATATATATATATATATATATACAGGAGCTGTGAGAGGAGGCGAGGCCACATGGAGACTGTCATGTAGAAACCACAGAGGGAGGCTTGGTCTTCATGTTAGGGGCTGTGTTAATGGAGTCATGATAGCAGGAAGTGATGGAATATAAATGTATTTTATTTTAAGAGTTAAAATGGTCCTGTTTTTCAATCAAATGTTGCTATTCCAAAAGGTTCTGTATTAGATCTGATTAGTTATTTCATTGTTAAAAGTATTTATTGGAATAAAATGAGAATTTATTTGTTTTTATCCTTAGAAATAGTCTCTCCTTTGCTTGTTTATGTGTTTAAAATAGTTATATTCTATTAGGACATTTACTTTTTGCAAACGTTTATTTGACATGTACTACTGTATATTTAAAAATAAGATCAGTGAGATTTGAGCTGTAATGACTAAGCTGCACTAGCAGAGGGCAGCACACACACAGCTATAATTTTATGAGTTGGAAATTCATCAAAACATCTTGTACAGAAATTATTCATGATTGAAAAACTTTTTGAAAATTGAAACACTTTTTAAATTTTTACTATCACAAGAAAGTTAAATTGTCATCTGGACTGTTTTTTTTTTTTAAAGAAAACCTTTCATCTTTCATCCAAAGGACTTCATCAGTCTGAGGCCTGCCAGCAGGATCTGTCGTATGGTATTAAGTAGTGTAGTGAACTCGGCCTCCGACCAAAACCTGTCTCTGAAGACCTTCATGGGACAGGAACTGTTATTTCATTGATTTGAATCCAGAAATACAAATTAGCTCATCCAGAGACTGTCTAATTGTATCCTGAAGTAATCAATTGAAAGAACACTCTTCTTTTTTATTATCATTACTATTTTACAATATATTGATAAATCAAGTGTGTTTAGTTCATATCATTTCTAATGTTGAAGTGAACCACTCATTTTAAATCAACTGTGAAACAGTATTAATGATTTTTAAAACCTCATTTAAATTAGAAATCAAGTTAAATGTTTGTTTACAAAGTAATTATGCATTTAGATTTTCTGTCTAAAGGAGAAGTAGTGATGTTGGTCAAAAGTCAGAGACAGTCTGAAAAGAAGTTATTAGAACGGGCTGTATTGTTTTTAAACCTAGCAGACGGTAAAAAGAGAAACACTGGCATCTGCGTTGTCTCACTTCGCCATAACATTTCTCTGTCTGTACTAAACGTTCCTAAACATTCCTGAACCCTCTGTTTTCTTGTAATGACCCTCTGACATCACTAGAACCACCCCCTGTTGGTTGTTTCAACCAATCAGGAAGTATTAAGTGATCGGAAGTGAGAACTCTTTTAAAAGTCGACACTTCCTGGAACTATTCAGTCTACTCTGTCTTCAGAGTCTTCTCCGTCTTCTCAAGTTCTTCTGAGTTCTTCTGAAGTCTTGGATCTGAGTTGAACTCTGTCTTTCAGTCCTCTCCATCTACAAAAGGCTGCAGCCCAGTGTGACTCATCACTAGAGCATATCACCTCTCATGGTATAGTCCTGTTGGGCTAGATATGTCTAGGTGAAAAGAATTTGTTCACCTGTGTTCTCTTTTCCAGTTTCCTGGTTCCTCGTGTTTTTGGATTCTCCTCGTGACCTGATTTGGATCCATCGGCCTGTCAGGTATCCCTCGTGCCTTTTTGCCTCCAGTTGCCAGCCTTCCTCGTTTCCCTTGGGCCCTCGTTGGATTCCCCTCTGCTGCTCACTCCCTGGACTGAAGGACCAGCTCTCCTCCTTCGGGTTTGGACTGTAAGGACAAAAATGCTCTTCAGACAAACCACTCTGGTCCTCCCCTCTGGACAAACATTAACCTGTCGTTCCTCTTTCCAGGAGCCGCTGAGAAGCAGCGTGTGGACTTTATTTTTCACTGTACATAATAAACACTGTTCTTTTTGTACTTCCCCTGTGTCTGCCTCGTTCTGGGTCTCATATCATCTGTGTTCCCCGCGCACTCCTAACACTTGTAGGACAGAGGAACTGATTGCCATGATCAAGGTTCAAGGTTCTTTATTGTCATTCACATCACATGTGATACGTGAGATAGAATGAAATTATCTACACAGGGTCTCAGTTATATCCAACAATAGCAAAAATATAAATTGTGAAAGATATAGTGCTAAGGATCTAAGATATAAACTAAGAAATACACTCAACTAAGAAATATGCTAAACACAATAGTGCAAAGATGATGACTTGTAGGACAGACAAACACTTTCACTTTCTTTTCCTGAATGTGACATAAAAACATTTGTTCAGTTTTGCTCCACCCCTTCCTGCAGGTATGTGCTGTTCAGACTGACACCAATCTGATACAAAACAAGTTTAGACAAGTTGTTCTCTGTGGTAGCTGTTTTTTCCATTATCTGTAGTTTTTCTCAGTTTAATCTGCTTCTTCCTCACATTCTCATTCGCACACATATACTCTTTCTTACTACAACTGACTTTCATTCGTCTTCTTTCAAGTGCATACATCCACCTCTCTAGGCTCTCTTCCACCTTTTCCCTGTTCTGACCACAGATCACTGTCATCTGCAAAGTCTATGATGATTCCTGCACTCCTGAAACTTTTCGTCTTCCACCCCGTCCTCCCTAGACTCTTTTTCACCTCTTTACCACACTTAACAAATCTCTGTCATAAACTTATGGTACAAAAATTAAGACACTATTGTTCAGAACATTTAAAAATGTACACTGAACATTTTTTTCCCAATTTATCATTTTTTTTTTTACTTTTAGCTTTTTTACCTGAATTCTCAGTTTTAATTTTAAAAGAAAGATCATCATCCAGCCATGTACTCTGGTATTTGTTGCATCACTCCATTTTTATTAACCTTAATTAATGGGTAGGTGTAGATTGATTAATCTTTTAGACAATATAAAACATAATCGGCATGCTGTTTATTTTCACTCCTTGCTTAAGAATAATATAGTCAAAATCAGACTCTTTTCATCAGTACTGTATTTATTTCTGTGTAAATCTGACCTTTAAATGCTCATAATGGATTCAAAAAGTGTTCAATACAAAAACAACTGGACTTTATTTGTCTGTTTGGGTTATTATCCAGTGTTGTCTGAACTCCAGGCTCAATCAAACAGTCTGGATAATTTGCAGACATTTCTCCACTTGAGAGATAATTACCCCTATTATTCCATTGATGAAGTGGCACCTGAAAATCCCTTTAATGTTTTACCCTTTTTGTGTTCGGCAGGAGCAAGACGGCCTTTATGTTGAATAAGAGAAGAACTCTTTAAAAATGAGGGGTTTTGAGGACCATGTGGGCAGAAAAAAATTTAATCTTGCCTGCATCAAACTGAAGAAAAGCAAGATCAAACTCATCGTGATTCCTCTTTGCACTGTCAGAGTCTTCACCTTAATCACCTGCTGGATCCTGGAGGATACTCTAATCGCATGCTGCCATGAAAAGCAGGTGATCATCTAGAGCAATTTCCAGTGTCTGGTTGTTCTGTTAGCAAAATTCTGGTTGACCAGTAAACAGGTTTCAATTAAACCCTTCCAATTTTTTTTTTTTTTGTATTTCCAGGGGGTTCCTGAAAGACACCTGCCACTGTCAGGCATCCAAAGGTTTCCAGAAGGGCCCTTCTCTCCTTCCTGAGTCCAAGGGATTCCAGGGGGACATCTGTCAATGTCCAATGTCCAATAGGGTCCAGAAACAGAAGGAAAATATCTGAGGGGTGTCAGGAGGAGACCTTTCACTCTATGATGTCCAAAAGAGTCCAGAAGCAATAGGAAAGTGTCTGAGAGGTGGGTGTTTAGAGGAGATCTCTCACTTTCTGGCATTCAAGAGTGGGTGGGCAGCTGTGGCTCAGTGATTAGAGCAGTTGTTCTCCATTGGGAGAGTTGAGGGTTTGAGTCCACCAGCAGTCACATGCTGAAGTGTCCCTGGGCAAGACACTGAACCTCTCATTGCCTCTGATGTGTCCCATCAGTGTATGAATATGATCTAAAGCAGGGGTGGGCAATTATTTTTTCCATGGGGCCACATGAGAAACAGCAAATATTGTTGAGGGCTGGCACAAATTACTTTTTCATTCAACCTTTATTTAGACAGGTAAATCCCATTGAGCCTCGAGGACTCATTTACAAGAGAGACCTGATTTCAACTTAACTCAATACTGCATAATATTAATAGTATTTCATTATTAAAAGCAGTACATAACACTGTTTTAACAAGCTGGTAAGAGTATTTGTTATGATTAAGCAACAAAAAAGCGAGGTTTCCTTACAAAAAATGTCATTTATTCAATTACATTTCCCTGTACAATGGTAAACTGTTAACATTTTTACCATTTGTGACGTTATATTAATGATCATTTTCAGTCACACTCACCCCAAAACTCATTTTGAGTTTTATATACTGCTGGAAAAAGTTCTTAACTTTGTAAATATATCACAATATTGTCTTTGTACTCCAAATATTATGAAACATCATATAATAGTGATCGTCACTGAACTGTGATTTCGAGTCCCGGTTCTTTACGTGCCTACATTTGTAGTCTAAACATCTCATTTGGTGTTTATCAGTTCTTTTTTCTTGTTTAGTGAGAAAAGTTTAGTCTCTGTTGGGCTTTAACGGAAATGTTAGTCAGGTTCAAGGTCTGAGGTGGAGATGTGAAGCAAAGCTAACATCATCAGTGAGAGAGGATCTATATCTGGATTTGGTTAACTTCATTTGTTTACATATGTATTTTGTAATTCCCCTTACGGGGGCCGGTAAGACTCAACCAAAGGGCCGCATGTGGCCCTGGGGCCGTACAACGCCCAGGTCTGATCTAAAGCAATGATTAGTATTTGTAGATATATAGCAGAGAGTTGTATGAATGGGTAAATGAGGGCACAGATTGTGTTGTAAAGCACTTTGAGTATGTTGATCAAAAAGAAAGGCAGTACATACGTACAGTCCATTTACCATTTCAAGAGG